CCTTGAGAGCACTTTTCGAAAACACATGTGTAAATAGTATTGCTGGCAAATGGAACGGCTATTTCTGGCTTTTTAGCCGCCGTCAGCCAGTCCTATCCGACCGTAAGTGATGCACCACCTGAGGCTCGAACTGGCGAACATTTCCATCAGAGTCTAACGCTCTAAACACTCAGCCAGGAGCTCGTTGTCTTCTCGTTTAAGGTTGGGAGATATTTACTGACAGCTAATGGAACTCACTAGTCCCGATCTGCCTTGCGTCTCCTTTCTCTGGCCCAGTAAGCAACCGTAGCGGCTAGTGGTCTAGGCGGATAATATTGCTGCTAAAGACAAGGGCGAAAGGAACGGCCGAAATTTTGCCGGACCTGAAGTAAGTTGAGATCAATCCGAAAGATAATTAGTCTAACAACCCTAGTTCATTTATTTATTCAGATCCCAAATTCTTTTTAATACTTTTAGTTTCTTGTGGTAGGGAATCTACTGTATCTTCCTATATGTCATTAAGAAGACAACATGTCATGCTTCTGCAATTTTTCAAAGGCCGTGAATTATACCATCTACATTATGCGGAGCACTAAGCGTGTGCTTTAATGTGAAGTTATACAGGCTTAACAGTTTTCAACTAAGATACATTTAACAGTAAAACGGAGACGTCATTTGAGCGAACATTTTGAAGACAGCGAGAAAGAATATCTTCAATTATTTTGTCCACAAAAGGTCTTTTAATGTGGCTGGGTAACAAAAATCTTAAAGAATAATTCATGAAAAATAGGTAGAGAGAATATGTCTCGCCTGAATAAAACATGGAATATGCATTATTTAGTCTGGTGTAGTAGATTGTCTAGGCTAAATCAGGTCTGCATCCTCCTGTTGAGTAATGTTACAGTCTAGTGGTCATTGCAGCATCCCAGCAGCTCATATCATCTAAAACTATTCACCGCTTTCCAATTTTGAAAGATCATCCGACTTTCCCATACCTGACCTCGTCGCCTTATCCACCCTATTGCAGAGATAAAGGCGCACGGAGTCATCTTAATGGCCTTTTGGAGAACCCAAAATTAAATGTTCGAATTAGATACTGTCCTATAAGGCCAGGTGTAATGTATCCGCGCTGTTAAATAATATCTACGCTTCGATTAACTAGCACCACGTCGACAGGATGGCCAACCTGCAGTTTGTAGTGACTCTCGTCCCTAAGTGGTTGCTCACATGCGTACAGCCCGGAGGTATGTGTTTTGAAATGACGCCTTCACACCCACCTAAGTTTTAAATTCCATCGCCAAAGGTGATTGTCTTTTGCTATTTCCGATGGATAGCATAAGGAAGAAGATTAACTCTTCTCTGGGCAGGTAGGACTTGATCACCAGACACTCCATGTGCACCCAGTAAATCTATTTGATTA